ATTGATGAGTAGTACTGAACTTGATAGTAATTGTATGTTCAGTTTTAGTTCTGATGTTAGGAATATTGTCTATTATTGATGAGTAGTACTGAACTTGATAGTAATTGTATGTTCAGTTTTAGTTCTGATGTTAGGAATATTGTCTATTATTGATGAGTAGTACTGAACTTGATAGTAATTGTGTGTTCTGTTTTAGTTCTGATGTTAGGAATGTTGTTGTCTGTTATTGGTGAGTAGTACTGAACTTTGATAGTAATTGTATGTTCTGTTTTAGTTTGGATGTTAGGAATGTTGTCTATTATTGGTGAGTAGTACTGAACTTGATAGTAATTGTATGTTCTGTTTTAGTTTGGTTGTTAGGAATGTTGTTGTCTATTGTTGGTGAGTAGTACTTAACTTGATAGTAATTGTATGTTCTGTTTTAGTTTGGATGTTAGGAATGTTATTTTGTTTTTGTGACTAGCATTATTGAGCTTTATAATTAGTGAAATGTTTGGTTTTAGTTTGGACGATGTTATAATATTACCATCGAGAGTTATTGAGTCTAATTATTTAACTTTATAAGAGATGATAACTTGAATTACATTTTAGAGGAATCAGAATATTGTTGTCTGTTGTTAGTGGTTTGCAGTAATGGTTGATAACAAATGATACAGTGATGGAAATTGACTGCCATTTATTGTATTTTCATGTTAATATTAAAAATACTTTTCTGCATCTAAAAATTGTCAAATTTCATGTGCGTAATCCATCAAACTTCCTAACTGAATGTCAAGTGTTTTATTTTCAGCAAAAAACTTTATATTCTATGTTATGTTCTTTACCCTTATTCTATACAGGGTCGGTCAGTTTTACTGACCACATAATCACAAAAAAAAAGGAAATCTAATTTATTTATTTTTTCTAGAAGGAATTTAGTTTGTTACAGAAACTAGACTTGTTTATCTTAAATAGCTTAAAGGTAGTAACAGTATACATCTGTTTCTACTTAAATTTTATTGTTTTATTTGCCATTTGAACCTTGTCTAACTAATAATCCAACTGCACAAGTTGTAAATCACTCAGTAAATGTTTAGTGCATGTTACTGTATCAAATGTAACACACAAGCTACTCAAGAGCATACCTAGTGAAGAATTTTAATTATTTTTCTTTATCTTATGTAATCTAACCAAATAAATTTCTAATATTACATTTTAGTTACTTTTATAATAATAAATAAAAAATACACAGGAAAAACAAACAATATAGTACTTATGTGGGTCTGTTGACTGTTGCTGAAACTTAACCTTACTTTTTTATATTAATGGTACTACTACACTGAATAATTGTTTATTTGATTAAATAATACACCTAAGAACACAGAATAATAACACACAAAAAACAGACAATGTTCTATAACTATCATAATTTTTTTGGCTTTCTAGCACCGTGATAAAAGCTGTTAAAAATTCAGCTAAGCGTATCGATGTGCTTCCCATGGGAATATAGTTTGAAATGGAAGGAAAATAGACAATTATCTATACAGAAAACAACATAATATAATATGTCATTTGATAGATTAAAACTCTGGCTTTCTATTGGTTATAAATAATATAGTATTAAACATCAGAGAGTGGGAAGAGGGTTCTGATTTTTTAGTTTATGGCTCCCTAACCAAATAAGATTGAAGGCTATAGAAATTATGCTTTGCCTGGGTAATAAGAGTATTATATTCAGCAATTTATGTTAAATTCTGTATTTCTCAGAGGGGTGGTAAATATATATGGGAGAAGAATGGGATACTTAGAGAGCAAATGTCACAATTCTCATGCTAGGGAGAGATTGAGGATTTTTAGAATATTTCCATATGAAATTTAGAATTTAAAACTTGTATAATATAAAACTTTGATTTATTAACTACATTTTTATGTCCAGTTTATTCATATACCATCGCAACATATTAGTTTAATTAAATTTTGAATGTAACTCTTTAAAATATTGTGACATGCATAACTTTGGCCTGCCCGTAGCGAGAGGCATAAAGTGGCAAAAGTTTAGTGTTTACTGATCATAGTAGTAATAAATAATACAAATATGTAGTCTATGATGCACCAGAAAACCTGTAGGATCCTCTGGTTTCAATAGACTGGAACCTAGGACAGCCCAAAAATTCCTTTTGGTGTTTTAATTCATATTGATAAGTTCAGTTTTAATTTGAATGTTAGAAATATTATTGTTTAGCATTAGTGAGTGGTATTATGCTGGATATTAAGTGATTAAAGTAAATGTAGACAGTGGATGCTCAATACAAATAGATATAATAGCAGAGTAATAAAAGTGTGCAAATGTGTAAGCAGTATATTATTTGGTTATCTTTCAGCAATTTGGAGAAATTGAGAGTGTAGAAGATACTCAGAATGGTATTGTCGTAGCTTTCAAGACAAGGAGGGATGCAGAAAAGGTAATAATTCCTAAAGATATCTCCTATTTGTCCACAACCTACCATTATGATGGTTTGTTGCATTTTGTTGTAAATTTATGAATTTTTATGGAGATACGTAATTTATTTTTATCCAGACTTCAAATTGTAACTGTTTTTTTATAATGATATTTCATTAATATGAAACTGATATTAAAATCATTCATTTTGGGAGTTGAGCTTTATAATAATATGATTAAATAAAGATGAGCTTTCTAATAGTGTTAGCCACACACTGATAAATAGAATGAGATTTTTAATAGTGTAAGACACATACCGATAAATAAAAGCTGGTGTAAGTAACATATGGATGAAGAAAACCCTACCATTAGCTTTGATAGTCATCTGTAGGCAGCTAGGCAGATGATCTATGTTTACACTCACTTGTGCTAGTCGTCTGTAGGCAGCTAGGTAGATGATCTATGTTTACACTGACTTGTGATAGTCATCTGGAGGCAGCTAGGCAGATGATCTTGTTACACTGACTTGTGATAGTCATCTGTAGGCAGCCAGATGACTATCACAAGTCAGTGTAAACATAGATCATCTGCCTTAGCTGCCTCCAGATGACTATCACAAGTCAGTGTAAACATAGATCATCTGCCTGTTTACTCTGACTTGTGATAGTCATCTGTAGAAAGCTAGGTAGATGATATATGTTTTCACTGACTTGTGCTAGTCATCTGTAGGCAGCTAGGTAGGTGATCTATGTTTACACTGACTTGTGCTAGTCATCTATAGGCAGCTAGGTAGGTGATCTATGTTTACACTGACTTGTGATATTCATCTGTAGGCAGCTAGGTAGATGATCTATGTTTTCATCGACTTGTGATAGTCATCTGTAGGCAGCTAAGGCAGATGATCTATGTCTATACTGACTTGTGATAGTCATCTGTAGGCAGCTAAGGCAGATGATCTATGTTTATACTGACTTGTGATAGTCATCTGTAGACAGCTAGGTAGATGATCTATGTTTACACTGACTTGTGATAGTCATCTGTAGGCAGCTAAGGCAGATGATCTATGTTTATACAGACTTGTGGTAGTCATCTGTAGACAGCTAGGTAGATGATCTATGTTTACAGTGACTTGCTGTAATTCAGATGTTAGAAGAATCTGTAATGAGCTTTTGTGAATTTCAAATGGACAGACTTACCTGTGAAAAATGAGAAGACTTTCCTTGTTGAGTTGCTGTCAACAACCATGTGACCGAAGTTTGTTCTGAATGTTGATGACACAGTGTGTAAAGTTTATATCTAACTTCTCACCAAATTACTTATTTGCTTATGTATTTGTTTCATGATTGTAGTTTATCAGCTTCTTCTGTAGCTGTTTACAGAACTGCTTTAACTGCCACCTCCAGAAGCCATCAGTTTCTCTTGTTCCCATTCATTAAAGACTTATTTCAAACCCGTCATCTTCAATGACCCTATCTTTCTAGACATAGTCCTAAATGGGACTTGGAGTTAGTCTTGCATCTTTTTAAACCTTTAGAGACTTGTTCACAATTGATATATTCTTTATTACTTGCATCAAGCAGAAGAAGTTCTGATCTCTATGTACTTGAAGCTTTAAACCTTTAGGGACTTGTTCACAATTGATATATTCGTTATTACTTGCATCAGGCAGAAGACATTCTGATCTCTATGTACTTGAAGCTTCACATACTTGATTTTTTTGAGTCTTCATACTTATACTCAGATTGAGTCTTCTCATCTGCAAGAGTAGGTAATCATTTTTCTCACATATTTTTGTGTTACCTGCCCTGATCGATCCTGATTCTCATTCAGAGAAAAGTTTATGTCCTGTCAAAGATGTTTATTGTTATCTCACATTTATTGAATATTTCAGAGGTCTTGGTAAAGGTTTTGTACAATGAATCTTGATCTGCTTTGTTTCCTGTGATGTTCATGAACATTTTAAGAGTGAATTTTGTGTCATATATCACCAAATTCACCATTCTCCAAATATTAGTTTCATCTAATTGGTGTCTCTTTAGCTTCAGAATTATTTTTGTTAATCTTCAAGCCGGGTGGAATCCTTAGTACAGGAGTTACTCAAAGTTAGTATTACTTAGGATACCTGTGGATTACATAACATCAACTAGTTACAGGATTGATTTTTTGTTTTTTTGTATTGTTGGATGTCTAAAAATAAGTGAAAATGCAAGTGGTATAACTGTGTAACAACTTTATTAAAAAAATTTTAAACTGGCATCCTTTTACCCATGCTACAGTTTTTTTTATAAATATGGTTATGAAAAATTACTGCTGTTTAATTTTAAGAAATTTAAATTTTTGTTATTATGCCTTTATTTTAATATGAGTCACATTGCTAAAAATATAGATATAAACTTTGAAATCACTGGATTGTAACCTGGTTAAGCTAGTCATTTACAGATTATATTATTTTAACATAGACTTATTTAGGTTACCTTAGGACTATATGGTCAACATTGATTAATCCAAAATACTGTGTTATTATTGTGGAAGTCTTTTGTAAAATCCCAAAAATTTGGTTGCATAGCTAACTTTTATTATGAAACTGAATAATACATGTACATATTATTACCAAGTACAGGGTCAACTTCATACTTAATAATACTTTGAAACAGAAAGATACACATACATATCATTACCAAGTACAACTTCATACTTAATAATATTATGAAACAGAAAGATACACATACATATCATTACCAAGTACAACTTCATACTTAATAATATTATGAAACAGAAAGATACACATACATATCATTACCAAGTACAACTTCATACTTAATAATATTATGAAACAGAAAGATACACATACATATCATTACCAAGTACAACTTCATACTTAATAATATTATGAAACAGAAAGATACACATACATATCA